CCAATCCCACCATCCAGCCACTCAAAGATAGGGTCAACTTGAACAACTGAAATTTTCGAGCAAGTACTAGGAGACTGATCCTTCCACTGGCCAATTATCCAAGCACGAAGCCCCTTAAGGGCCCTCCTCAGTGGCCTAACCTTCCTGACACTTCAGCACTCTGGTGCCCATCTTTGTAAAAGGAGAAAAGTCCCTTGCTTCTAACCAAAGCCTGAACTTCAACAGCATCAGGAAACATGGATTCAATGCGAATCCCATAGTGCTTCTCAACATCGTCAAAGAATTTGTATGTCTCAGGGTTCAACCTACCGGTGTCCAAGCTAAAAACTCTAGATGGTCGGCCAGTTAAACGTGCATATTCTATCAACGCAACATCTTCGGCGCCACTGCAATAATTATTTTTCTCAGTAAGTAAATCCTGATTCAGCATGCTTTCATTTGAAGTACTTGTTCACATGATATATGCAAAGTTCCACATGGTACCAAACGGCTAATATTTTCAAATGCCTCAATTTCCATATACAGATTTCATCAAAATAAAAAGCTTCCATGTACTGAATAGTCTATTAGGGTCCATTTTATTGCAAGAATGAAATTTGGATGGAAAGAAAACGAATTTCAGGAAATTAAATTGTCTAAAACTTATTTTGCTGGGAATTGTTAATTACATATGTTTAATTGGTATAAATTTTCACCGAAAGATGTTTAAATTTGAGATCTTTTGGTATTCGTTTGGTTTTGTTTTTCATGAAAATTGTTACAATTGTGGATAGAATTTGTTTTCATTGCCAAAAAAATTTGAAAATAATAAAAAAAGAACCTGAAAAACCCAATTCCCACCAAAACCAAAGGAAATTGAATTCCTTAAAAACCAAGAAAATGTGGTAACGTGGGGGNAAAGAACCTGAAAAACCCAATTCCCACCAAAACCAAAGGAAATTGAATTCCTTAAAAACCAAGAAAATGTGGTAACGTGGGGGAGGGGAGAATAATTGGAAAACCAATTCTATGAAATTTTTTTGCAATCAAACATACATTTTTGGGTGGAAATGGAAAATTTTTTCCATTTTCCATGGAAAAACAAACCTATTAATCAGGTCCTTAGTTAAAGATTTTATACACACAAATAGTAAATTATGCAACCATCCAAAAAATAAATAAAGTAGAGAGAGCTAAATTATTTTTGACGGTTTATTAGCATAGTCAAATGCCATTATAAAAATTTCTATAGATACATCAATTTTATGAGTTAATCACGATTTTCAGAATTACCTGAAAGCAATTGCATTATCATTTCCGAATTTCGCAAGGGCTTTGTCCATAATCTCAAGAGGATAAGCATTTTGAAGATACTTGGCCAGTTTTTCGTAATCCTCTACCTCGACCTTTTCAAACACGTCTGCTTAATTCTATAACAAAATCAAGGGCAATCCGTCATTTCAGATTGTCCAAAAATCACAATAAATTAAACAAATTGTGTCTTAAAAAAGAAAAAACTCACCAGGGGCAATAATGGTTGCTGCTGAAGGGACAATTGAATCGTTGCTCTTTGGCTCGGCTTTCAACGGCATAACAGAAGAACATCGTCGGGAAAAACTCATTTTCGTTGATGGGAGATGAACTTTGTCCAAAGGTTGAAATGAACCAAATTGCACAGCTGCAGAGAAAATTATATTTACGTAAAAGGTAATTGACACAAAACGTCTCTATCTTTCAAGTTTATTGTAAAAAACGTCTCTATCTTTTATTTTTTGGCATTTTTGCCCTTATTTCAACCTTTCTTTGCGCTGGACGTCCTTTCGTCCATATTCCGTCAGTTTTTCCGTTAAACATTCGGGTAATTAGCACAAAACGTCCCTACCTTTCAAGTCTATTGTGAAAAACGTCCCTACTTTTCATTTTTTGGCATTTTTGTCCTCATTTCAACATTTCTTTGCGCTGGACGTCCTTCCGTCCATATTCCATCAGTTTTTCCGTTAATTAAATACAAAAATAATTTTTTATTTCCATAAACAAGGGTAAAATTGTCCTCACCCACTTCACCCCTTTTTCCCGCCATCAACTTAGTCCATAAGTAACA